AGAACGTTGGCCTGCGGACTGAGGGGTCCCAGGTTCGATTCTGGTCAAGGGCACATGCCTGGGTTGCGGGCTCGATCCCCAGTGGGGGGCGTGCAGGAGGTGGCCAATCAGTGATTCTCATCATGATGTTTCTATATCTCTCTTCTCCCTTCCTCTCTCTGAAATCAATAAAAAGATATTAAAAAAAATAATAAAATAAAATAAAATAAAATGTTTGGGAGAGCCCGCCTGGTATGGCTCAGTAGTTGAGCATCAACCTATGAGCCAGGAGGTTGATTCCCAGTCAGGGCACATGCCCAGGTTGCAGGCTAGATCCCCAGCAGGGGGCGGGCAGGAGGCAGCTAATCAATGATTCTCTCTCATCATTGATATTTCTGTCTCTCTTTCCCTCTTCCTTCTTCTCTGAAACTAGTAAAAATATATTTTAAAAAAAGTCTATTTTGTCTGATCTGAATATTGCTACCCCAGCTTTCTTTTCGTTTAAATTTACATGAAAAATCTTTTTCCATTCCTTCACTTTCAGTCTGTGTGTCTTTCAATATAAAATGAGTGTCTTGTAAGTAGCATACAGGTAGTCAGCTTTTTGTCTATTCTGCTATGCTGTCTTTAAAAAAAATTTTAATGTATTTTTATTATTGAAAGTATTACAGATGTCTCCCTTTTCCCCCCATTGTCTAGCCCGTACCCATCCCCCACCCTAGGCCCTCACCACACTGTGTCCATGGATTATCCATATATGCATATAAGTTCTTCCTACCCATGCACCCACCCCGCCTCTCTTGAGATTCCACAGACTGTTCTATGCTTCTATGTCTTTATTTTTTTAATCCGTGTTTTCTTTAGTGTTTTAATCTGTGTTTTCTTTAGTGTTTTAATTAGATTCCTTTCTCATTTGTTTACATGTTTTTGGCTTATGGTTGATATAAGGTTTATATAGTCATCTATATTTAAAGCAGTCTATTTTAAGCTGATAGGCATTTAAATTCAACTGCATTCTAAAAGCACTACTTTTTTACTCCTTTCTGCCACTCTTCATATTTTTGATGTCATGTTTTATCTTTTTGTGTATCTCCTGATTATTTATTATAGTTAATTTTGCTACTGTTGTCTTTTAACTTTCATATTAGTTTTTAAGTGATTGATTTACTGTGATTATTATTTATTTGCCTTTACTAGTGAGATTGTTTTCTTTCCTATATATTTCTTGGATTATGTCCTTTGTTTTTTCTGTATAAAGAATACCTTTTAACATTTCTTTTAAGGCTGGTTTAGTGGTCATGAACTCCTTTTTACTTTTTTTAAAATGGAATTTATTTTAAATAAAATTATTTAGGCTTCAGTGTACAATTCTATAATACATCATCTGTATATTGTATTATGTGTTCACCACTCTAGGTCAGGTCTCCTTCTAACTCCGTTTATCATCCCTTTGCCCTCTTCTATCCGCCCTTCCCATGCCCCTTTCCGTGTCTGTGAGATATATATATATATTTTTTTTTCTAATTTAATCCCTTTACCTTTTTCATTTACTCATCCACTCACTCCCCAATCCCCCTCCTCTGTGACAGCTGTCAGTCTGTCTCTGTCTCTATGAGTCTGTTTCTATTACGTTTGTTAGTTTGTTGTTCATTAGATTCCACATATAAGCGAAATCGTGATTCTTTTGTTTTTATTTGTCTGGGAAACTCATCTCCACCTCAATTCTGAATGATAGCCTTGTTGGATTTAGTATTCTAGGTTGTAGATTTCTTTCTTTCAACACTTTAATAATTTCCTGCCACTTCCTTCTGGCCTGTAAATTGCTTCTTAAAAATCAGCTGATAGCCTTATAGGCTATCACTTGTATATGACTTGTTTCATTCTTGCTCCCTTTAAGATTGTATCTTTATCTTTAACTAGAGGCCCAGTGTAAGATGAATTCATGCACAGGTGGGGTCCCTAGGCCTGGCCAGCGATCAGGGCCCATTGGGGCCATCTCATCCAGTCCCGGTCGGGGCCGGGCTGATCAGGGCCTGCCATCCAGCAGGAGGGACAGGGGAGGGACCGCGGGAGGTTGGCTGGCCAGCTGGCCTGGATCGGGGTGGATCAGGGCTGGCCGGCTTGGGGGAGGGACCGTGAGAGGTTGGCCAGGGGGAGGGACTGGCCAGGGGAAGGGACCATGGGTGGGCTGCCGGGGGGAGGAACCGTGGGAGGTTGCCCGGCTGGCCTGGGCCGGGGAAGGGATGTGGGAGGTTGGCTGTGGGAGTGCACTGACCAATAGGGGGCAGCTCCTGCACTGAGCGTCTGCCCCCTGGTGGTCAGTGCACGTCCTAGCGATTGGTCAACCAGTCGTTCCTGTTTTTTGGTCTTAATAGTCACTTAGGCTTTTATATATATAGATACTTACTGTTTTAATTACAACATGTCTTGGTTAGGGTCTCTTGGCTTCATGTTGTTTGGAACTCTGTTTCCTGGATCTGAATGTCTGTTTCCTTTCCTAGGTTAGGAAAGTTTTTTGTTTTTTGTTTTTTTTTTTAAAATATATTCCATTGATCCTTCACAGAGAGGAAAGGAGAGGGATAGAGAGTTAGAAATATTGATGAGAGAGAAACATCGTTCAGCTGCCTCCCGCACACCTCCCACTGGGGATGTGTCCACAACCAAGGCACATGCCCTTGGCCGGAATCGAACCTGGGACCCTTCAGTCCGCAGGCCGACGCTCTATCCACTGAGCCAAACCGGTTAGGGCGGTTAGGAAAGTTTTTAGCCATTGTTTCCACAAGTATTCTTTTTGCCCCTTTCTTCTTCTGAAATACCTATAATGCGAATATTAGGGTTCTTGATGTTATCCCAGAACTCTCTTGATATTATCCTTATTTTTAAAAAAATTTTTTTAATTTTGTTGTTTTGATTAGGTAATTTCCACTATTTTGTTTTCCAGGTTGGTACTCTATTGTTTTGTATTAACTAATCTGTTGTCAATTCCTTGTAATGTATACTTCATTTTAGTTACTGTATTCCTTATCTCTGCTTGGTTCTTTTTAAAAAAAATATATTTTATTGATTTTTCACAGAGAGGAAGGAAGAGGGATAGGGAGTTAGAAACATCAATGAGAGAGAAACATTGATCAGCTGCCTCCTGCACACCTTCCACTGGGGATGTGCCTGCAACCAAGGTACATTCCCTTGACTGGAATCAAACCTGGGACCTTTCAGTCTGCAGGCTGACGCTCTATCCACCAAGCCAAACCGGCCAGGACTCTGCTTGGTTCTTTATTACCTTTGCTGTCTCTTTTTTGAAGTGCTATCTAAGTTCCTCTATTCTACTCAGAAGTTTATTAAGCATCCTTATGACCATTTCATTGAATTCTTTATTAGGCAAATTATCTCCATTTCATTAGGACTTTTCTCTGGAATCTTATTGTTGCTCCTTCATTTGGGCCATATTCTTTTGTCTTCCCATTTTAGTTGACTCTCTGTGTTTGTTCCTGAGTTGGGTATAATAGCTATCTCTCCTAGTCTTAAAAATTGGTCTCTATGTAGACTGTGTGTCAAATAATTTTTGCCAGTTTTAGTTGAGGTGGGTGCATATACTGCCTGGTGTCACCTGGCCTGAAAGAGTGGGTTCCAGGTGGGACAGCCTTGTGTGTGCATGCTGCCTTTCCCTTCTAATCCTGATGGGGCTTCTTTTTGTGCTCTTGGCTTAATCTTTTGCTTTATTGTCTGTTATCAGCAGGGTGTGAGGGGTCTGCTTTATATGATTGTCTCTCCCCACCAGCTTCCCCCCTCTCCAGGTTGAGTAAGCCTGCTGTGTGCACACAGCTCCACTTTGCTAGTTTTGCTCCCTCTCTGGGCATTACAACTCCTTGTGCACTCAGCTGTGCCCCACTTACTCTACATGGCTAGCCATACGTGTGTGCCCTGTTGCTCTAATTGTCTTCTGTCAAAGTAGGGTTTGGGCAGGGCCACTATGCAGGCCTGCATCTCAATGCCCTGCTAGCTCTGGGTGGAGCAGCCTTGCATATGCACACAGTCATTTGTCATGAATTCTGTACCCAGTCTTGGTGGGGTATCCCTGCACGTGCACAGCAGTACCCCACTCACTCTCTGCAAGTGGCAACCCTGCATGTGGACACTGCCAAGTTTTGCTAGCTCTGACTTCTCTCAGACAGGGCAGTCTCACGTATATGCACAGCTGCACCCACTATCTCTGCACTTTCTCTGGAGGGGCAGTCCTGCATGTGGGCACTGCAGCATTTTGCTAGCTTCACACTTTCTGCAGGAGGGGTAGCCCTATGTGAGCACACAGTAGTGCCCCACTATCTTTGCACTTTCTCTGGACAGGGTAGTCCTGCAGGCAAGTATCACAGCACTCTCTCCTGGTGGGGGAGCCCTGCTTGTACATGCAGTAAAGTGGGTGTACAAAGCAGCACCTTCCTGTACTTGCTAAATCAATTTCCCAGTGGAAGGATCCCCTTGTATGTAAGCTATGGTGCCCTCCTGTTTCTGTTGGATCTAGCTCTCGGAAGGGTGGCTTGAGGACATGCTACAGCACCCTGCAGGTTGGCCAGAAAACCTGGATGGCTCTCTCACCCACTATCCACATGTTGAGGAAACATATCTAGTGATGCTCACCAGTTGCTTTGGTTCTGGGTTGTGCCCTCAGCTCTAGTGGTTTCCAACTTTCTCTCTTGCTTGTTGTGCAGAAGTAGTTCAGTTGACTCACAGTTGTCTCTCAGGAGGAATCGCTGCTCAAAATATAGGTGTACATTCAGTGTATTGGGAGGGGTTGAGTTCAGCAGCAAACTTGAATGTCATCTTAAACCTGCCTCTGAATATCACTGTATTGATAATAGCAAGGGTGAAGCTGTCTCCAGAGCTTTCAGTGTATTGAATTTCAAACAATGTACACAAGGCAGAAAATCTATGTTTTTGCTGTAAGTCATAAAAATGTTCAAATATTCACTAATATTAAATTCAGTAACTAAAAATCATTAATAATTTCCTTGTTTTTTTTACAGAAGTCTTACGTTAGAAAAACTCGGTGAAGGGGAAAATGGTAGTCAATGTGGAGAAAACTTCAGCCTTAGTCCAAACCTCAGTCTAAACAAGAAAACACTTTCTGGACTGAAACCATGCATATACAATGCATGTGGGAATGTCTTCATGCATCATTCATCCCGTAATAGGCACATCAGATGTCATGCTGGACACAAGCCCTCTGAGTATCGGAAAAATAAAGAGAAGCCATATAAATGTAACATATGTGGGAAAGCCTTCAGTTATCTTCAGTGTTTGGAAAATCATAAAGGAACTCACAATGGAGAAAAAACCCATGAAAGTAAGGAATGTGGGAAAACCTTTAGTTCTTCAACTTCATTTCAAATTTGTGAGAGAAAGCACCCTGGAGAGAAGCCTTATCAGTGTAGACTCAGTGGAAAAGCCCTCAGAAATTATCCAAGTTTTCAAAGCCATAAAAGAAGTCATCCTAAAGAAAAACCACATGAATGTAAAATATGTAGTAAAGCATTCAAATATTTCAGTAATCTTCAAATACATGAAAGAACGCACACTGCAGAAAAGCCCTATGAATGTAAGGAATGTGGAAAGGCTTTCAGATCTTGCAGTTCTTTACTGCCACACAAATGGGCTCACACAGGAGAGAAACCCTATGTATGTAAGGAATGTGGAAAAGCATTCAGATATCCTAGGTCCTTGCAAACACATGAAAGGTCTCACACTGGAGAGAAACCCTATGAGTGTAAAAAATGTAGTAAAGCATTCAGCGATATCAGTTATCTTCGAAAACATGAAAAAACTCACAGTGCTGAGAAACCCTATGAATGTAAGAATTGTGGAAAAGCCTTCAGATCTCCCCGTTACTTAAAATCACATGAAAAGATTCACACAGGAGAGGAACCTTATGAATGTAAGGAATGTGGAAAAGTCTTCAAATCTTTTAGTTATTTACAAACACACCAAATTTCTCACCCTGGATGCAAACGCTATGAATGTAAGGAATGTGGAAAAATCTTCAACTATTACAGTTCCTTACGAATACATGAAATATCTCACACTGGAGAGAAGCGCTATGCATGTACAAAATGTGGTAAAGCACTCAAGTACCTGAGTAATCTTCGAATACATGAAAGAAGTCACACTGCAGAGAAACACTATGAATGTAAAGAGTGTGGAAAGGTCTTCAAATCTTACCGTTCTGTACAAACACATGAAAGAACTCACACAGGAGAGAAACCTTATGTGTGTAAACATTGTGGTAAAGCCTACGTTTCTCTCAAATCCCTTCAAAGACACATGAAAATACATCCTTGCAATAACACCTTATCAATGTAAGGAATGTGGGAAAGCATTCACTCGCCTTAGTTTGTATCAAAGATACGAAAGATTTCAAACTGGAGAGAAACCCTATGAATGTAAGCAATGTGGTAAAACCTACACAGAACACAATTTCTCTCCAGATGGGAATAAACTCATACTAGACAAAAACCTATGAATGTAAAGAATATAGAAAAGCCTTTGTTTGTAACATACCCCTTTGAAAATCACAGATTGTGAGTGCACAGTGGAGAGAAACCATATACAGTCAAACTTTGGTTCTCAAATGTCTTCCATCTTGAATAATTCAGTTCTCAACCAAGTTATTCACAGAAAAATGTATTGCTTGTTGCCCTGGCCAGTGTGTCTAAGTGGTTAGAGCCATTGGCCCACACACCAAAGGGTCGTGGGTTCCATCCTGGCCCTGGTTAGGGCACATGCACAGGGCAACCAGTCAACATCTCATATGGATGTTTCTATTTCTCCCTCCCCTCCCCTCCCACGTCCCTCCGTCCCTTCCACTTTCTCTAAAATATCAATGGAGAACTGGATTTCAACAATATCAAATATACAGGGTGTCCCAAAAACATGTATCCATACTTTAACAGGTGATAGCTCAGTTGATGTTTCTTTTCAGCCAGACTAAGCTTTGAATAAAGTAAATATATCCTAAAATGCTACTGGAAGTTCTACTAGAAGTTTGAAAACGCAATTGAAGTACAAACACTGCTTTTATAATTATTCAAAGTATGTATACCTTTTTTGGCGGGGGGGCACATTTAACAGCTGATAACTCAATTTTCACTCCTAAGTGATTTGAAATAATGAGTAAAACCAGATTAAGCTTTGAACAAATAAAATTTATCCACTAGACTTTTTTTTTTTATGTTTACAGTACAAAACCAGCAACACAAATTGAGGGCACACAAATACTGAACAAAATGATTCTTGATGTTTGTGATTCCATTGCTTCACATTATCAGCAGTGCCAGTCATTAGTTTGAAAAACAGGCATTGACAAAAGTACTCATTTCTGTAGATTCTCTTACATTTTGAAAATGAACTGTATATTGAAAACTGACTTTATAATCATTCAAAGTCTATAGATTTTGGGGAGACCCTATCTATATCTCTAGATACAGATGTAGATATAAATTATGTATATATATACAATAAATATATGTATATTTCAAATACAAATTTGAAAACAAAACAAAAAGGCAGTTTGGTGTAACTTGGGATTTTCCTAGTGACCTTGTGACAGTTCCTGGGTATCTATAGTCCATTATATGCATTCTTCCTTCCTTACTCCCTTTTTGGGGATGATGGGTATAAGAGCCTTTTTCCATTTTCCTTACAAAGGAGTATGTTAGAATTATGTAAAGTTTGTGAAAGAATATATTGTGTGAATTATTTTCCGTATTTTGTCCTATGCTTTTTATTTTTCTCTTGACTGGCATATGTTGAATACATTTTTATTTAAAAAGACAGACCCGAGCCAAACCGGTTTGGCTCAGTGGATAGAGCGTCGGCCTGCGGACTGAGAGGTCCTGGGTTCGATTTCGGTCAAGGGCATGTACCTTGGTTGCGGGCACATCCCCAGTAGGAGGTGTGCAGGAGGCAGCTGGTCGATGTTTCTCTCTCATCGATGTGTCTAACTCTCTATTCCTCTCCCTTCCTCTCTGTAAAAAGTCAATAAAATATATTTAAATTGTTAAAAAAAAAAAAAGACCCGTGATAACGGACAAAATCTCTAGAGTTGGAGATATGCCTTCTACGGGTAACATTAAGAACTAGATTTTCCAGAATTTATTTCCTCTATGATTCCATAGTAGAATTTACCAGTAACCTCACTTGCATGAGACTTGGAAGGCAGAAGCAAAAACAGCATAAGATATTGGAGAGCCACCATACAGGGGGAGAGACAGATAACCAGCTATGATACACCATTTCCTAGCTAAAATTTTAGAATCTTTTTCCTTCCCATCAAGAGTATCTTCTAAACTACCAATTGTTTGATTTTTATTTTCTTAGAGGTGTAGTTTTCCCTACACCTATTTCAGCCTTTCATCTTGTATTCTGTGATTTCCCCCTTCTCTGGGTTATGTCCGTATAAGCTCTAATTGGTATAGGAAACAGCTTTATGCTGTTAATTGTGTTAGTATGTTTTCCTGATTCACCATGCTATCTACATTGGTGCAGTCAAAAAATGATATGGGTGCTTGTTTCTCTGTGGCATGTGCAGTGGTTACCTTGACCCAGTCCTTCCATGTAAGAATCTGCACCTTCCTCCTGTCAGGAAGACTGGGTGTTTTCTGTTACTTGAAGCTGGGTGTAACCCCTCAGTATGTTTTCAGTTATGTTTGAATTTTTGTGGTTAATCAATAAAATATTTTTTTTAAAGTATGTGCATTTTTTGTTAAATATTTGTGAATTTTCAAACTGCATTTTTCTCAGTCACATAAGTTCAGGTGTATTTTTTCTAAGACAAATTTTAAAAAATTAAATACATTGGAATAACATTGGTTAATATGTTTCTGGTGTATAAATTAAAAATACATCATCTATATATTTCATTTTGTAGGCAAATCTTTTTTACTTTTTTATGGGTACAATTTTTGTCTCTAATTTGTTTTTCATAATATAAAAAACATAAATCATGGTTTTCTCATTACCTCTTTCTGTCTGATCCACAGGATCGCACCTGTAGCCAAAAAGAAATGTAGTCCTCACATCAGTTAGAATGGCTATTATCAATAAGACAAGAAATAACGTGTTGGAGAGGATGTGAGGAAAAGGTAACCTCTGCAAACTGCTGGTGGAACTGTAAATTGGTGCAGCTACTATGGAAAACAAAAAAATTTTCCTCAAAAAATTTAGATACCATATGACCCAGCGATCCCTCTTTTGAGTATCTCCTGGAAATTTTTGAAAACATTTATTTGTGAAGATATATGTGCCCCTGTGTTCATTACAACATTATTGGCTACGCAATAGCCAAGACATGGAAACAACCTAAATGTCTTTCGACAGATGATGATAATGAAGATGTGAACATGTATAAATGGAATACTACTCAGCCATGAAAAGATTCAATAATGACATCTGTGACAGCATAGATGGATCTTGAGAGTATGCTAAGTGAAATAGGACAGAAGGCCAAGTACTGTGTCATTTCACTTTTATGTAGGATTATAAAACAAAACGCAGCAAATGAATAAACTAAGCAAACTAAACAAATGCGTAGATAGAATGGTGGTTACCAGAGTGGGAGGAAGAGGGGAGTATAAAGCGGGTAAAAGGTATCAAGTATATGATTATAGGAGACTAGCCTTCTAGTGGTGAGTACATAATAGGTTATACAGATGTATTATAAAGTTGTACACCTGACTTATGTAATGTTATTATCCAATATTAGCAAATAGAATTAATTTAAAAAGGGAAGTGTAATGAGTTCTAACAAGAATGATCATAAACCATGAATGACTGTCCGGTGTAATAGTAACAGGGTACCCAAAAGGACTTTTAATAAGATTTTGGCTTGTGTTAGATGATTTGATTGCTATGCAAGGAAGCAAGACCTTCTTCTGTATTGAATGCGGAGGTAAACTTTATTCTACCATTGGTGGTAATTGTTTTCTAGGAGGTAAAACCAGTGTAGTCAAGTGCAAGTTAATTTATAAGGATCTCCAGTCAGTGACATTAGAAAGGAGAGAGACTATTGGTCATTGTTATGATTTGGAACTATTTCTTTAGAGATATGAGCACAAAATATGCTTACAAATGATCCACAAACCCTGTTGCCTATTTCACTATTCACAGGTTTTTATTCACATGCTTAGACTTCCAGCACATATGACATTGTGGGAAACGAGTAATGCCTAGAACTTTTTATAAAGAGCAAAGAAATTAAACTTAAGAAATGTGTTTACTAAAAAATTACATATTGAAGGGGTTTTGTTCAAATGGGCACCACAACTGTTCTTTTGTGTTCTATCTTATGATGGCAGCATTACTTGCTATAAATTTGGGAAAACTTACAAACTAAAATGTTATGTACATGTGTATTTAATTTACTATACATGTGATAGAAAGTGAATGACACATTGGGTTTTATATGCTAGAACAGTGATTCCCAAAGTGGGCACTACCGCCCCCTGGTGGGCGCTGCAGCGATCCAGGGGGGCGGTGATGGCCACAGGTGCATTTGTTTTAACTTTTTTTGTATTACCTTTCTATTCTGAGTTCAATAAATAGTTTCATAATTTCAAATTTCAATGTTTCTAATTTACACCTTTCTTTACTATATTTTACGAAAAAGGTAGAAACATTAATACATATATCTTTCTGTTTAATTGCTATTAAAATTTTTAAAAAATTAATTTCCAGGGGGCGCTGAGTAATATTTTTTCTGGAAAGGGGGCGGTAGGCCAAATAAGTTTGGGAACCACTGTGCTAGAAGAATGTTAAAATCTCCTGTATCTAGATTTTATATGTTCATTTCTTTTCCCCAATGTGGAATACTTATTAGGAAGAATCGAATGACTGTGGATAAAGGACACTGGCTAAAACAAGTTTTTCTTGTAGCCCTATCTTAATTGGAAAAACACCCTCTAGAGCAGTGGTTCTCAACCTTCCTAATGCCATGACCCTTTAATACAGTTCCTCATGTTGTGGTGACCCCCAACCATAAAATTATTTTTGTTGCTACTTCATAACTGTAAGTTTGCTACTGTAAACATATAATTATGTATGTGTTTTCCGATGGTCTTAGGCGACCCCTGTGAAAGGGTCGTTCGACCCCCAAAGGGGTCGAGACCCACAGGTTAAGAACCGCTGCTCTAGAGTGAGGTGAGAAGGCTCCCAGAATCTGTCTTTTAGGTGTTTTTTTAATATATATATTTTTTTATTCCAGAGAGGAAGGGAGAGGGAGAGAGAGAGATAGAAACATCCTAAATAATAAAAGCCTAATACTCTTAAGTGTCTGGTTGTCTGATCATCCATTCAACCAATCAAAGCGTCATATGCTAATGATACACTAAGGCCGCTCAACCGCTTGCTATGATGTGCACTGACCACCAGGGGCAGACACTCCAGTAGGTTAGCTTGCTGCTGGGGTGCGGCTGATCAGGACTATGCGAGATGGGCCAGACGCCCTGGAGCCCTCCCACGGTTCCTCCCCGGCTGGCCAACCTCTTGCATCCCTTCCTGGCCCCGATCATGCACCTGTGGGGTCCCTCAGCCTTGCCTGTGCCCTCTTGCAATCCGGGACCCCCTCAGGGGATGTTGGAGAGCTGGTTTCATCCCGATCCCACTCAATGCAGGAGCTGCCCCCTGATGGTCAGTGTGCTCCCACAGGGAGAGCACTGCTCAGTCAGAAGCCGGGCTCACGGCTAGTGAGTGCATCGACCGTGGTGGGAGCCTCTCCCACTTCCGCGGAAGCACTAAAGATGTCCAACTGCT